GAGAGAATTTTCATAAATGTGGGCCCCAACTAGGGGCAGATTGATTAAACCACCACCACCACCACCACCACCACCTTTTCCTCATATACTAAGACAAACAGAAAATGAGAGTAAATGCAGATCAGAGCAGTTTAAAATGAATTCACAGTATATGGAAAGTATTTGCTATTATTTTCCATTTCCTTCCCTATTTCCTTCTTAAGGCTCATTATGGTGAATATGAATTCTTGGTTTTCTTGAATCCTTTGACTCAAGTTATTTCTGGATCAAGGCGGTATCGTTGTGGATGGAATTAAGTGCTGTCCCATGACCTCCAAAAGATGAGATATTGTATGGTTTCTAAGTTTATAGTTTTAAAGATATGAAAAAATATTTAATTCACTGCCCTGATTTCCTCACTCAAACCTACCCCAACCTTTGCCCCCTTTAGTTTGTATGTGCAGTAGTCAGTTTTCTTTCCTTTTCTATAGATAGCCTGTCCTGGTTCTCCGAGTACACTTGTGTTCTTTATCTTAAAACTGATGCTTGCGTCATCTGTTTAGAGGACATTGATATGATCAGCTTTAGAAGGAACCTGATGAAAGGCTCAGAAAGATAAAGGTCACTGTTAATGCAAAATGAGAAAAATGAGAGTCATTGGGTTTTCAAGGTTTTGTGACATAATGGTTCAACTCTCTCTTGCATTCTTTATATGTGAGAAGGGAATGCTTTCAGAAAATGCGGTTCAGAAATACAGATTGCTGTTGGATCTGTTCAAGTGTGTGACTAAAATATCACTCTCTATTTATGAGAAATGGCCTGCTATTTCAACAGTAAAACATGTAAAGTTTGGTTTTCATGTTATACATGTTGCCATGAGTAGCAGGAAGTTAGTGAGAGGATTACCACTTATAGCAGTGGTGTGAAATGTAAAATATTTGGCATATTTGGGAACAGAAATAAATGACTGACAGAGATGTCTTTTGAAAGTTCTGTTTCAGTAAACTAGGGTGAATGTCTAAGGTTCTGGTCACATGAAATGATCAAAATTGCATAAATAGCATTCACCCTTTGAACGAAGCTCAAGCTGACTCCACCTCACCCCACGGGATTAAGAAATACCTGGAGTACAAGCCATTTTGAGTATTTTCCTGTGATGTTGGCTAAATGGTGCCCTGAAACATTTGTTCTTGAAACTTCTCCATTGGAGATTTTTCCCTATAACAGAAAAACTTTGCAAAACAGCCTTTGGAGATTAGTTATCTGAAGTGATTTCTTCTCAGAAGGAGAAACATTTATAGTTTATTTTTACAAATCAAACAAGTTATTGTTGCCTTCTTCCAGAGGATGTGCAACAACTAGAGCACAGAAGAGCATTCCTAAAATTGACCTTTTGTTTTTGTCTTAAACTGATTGCGTCCCTTGAGTATTGGGAATTATTTCACAGGTTATCTTAAAAGTGGCACCTGATCTCACTTCTCTACCTGGTTTGCTAAGAAGTTGGAAAAGATTTGTCTGTAATGGTGTTGAATGGTATTAGAACCTTTTTAATGTTGTTGAGCCATCCAATGAGAGTTAGAGACAATTCCTCCAAAGCAATTCAGGCATGTGAAAATTCAGATTTAGAGCTGGGAGGGACCTTGAGGGTCATCTATTCTAATCCCCTCATTTTAAAGATGAGAAAACTAAGGCTGATTAACTTGTCCAAGGTCACATTAAGTAGTAAGTTTTAGAGTTGGAATCCAAACCCAGGCCCTTTGATTTCAAATCTTTTCACTGTACCATACTGTTAAGTGGCACAGTGGATAGACTTGCTGACTTGGAGTCAGCAAGATCTGAAATAAAATCCTGCCCTAGATAATTACTGGCTGTGTTACACTGGTAAAGTCACTTCTCTTAGACTCAGCTTTCTCATCTGTAAAATGGGAGTAACAATAACACCCATTCCACAGGATTGTTTTAAGGATCAAATGAGATAACACATGTTAAATAATTTGTAAACCTTAAAGTGCCATATAAACACTATGTGGCTATTATCATTATTAATATTATTATTATGTGGAAGAGGGATGTTGAAGGGGATTTTAAAACATTTACATTTTGCAGAATCATTTATTTGCTTTTGTAATATCTCTTCCAAATCATTGAGTCTGAATAAATATTTGCAGCTTACCTAAAAAGATTTTCTTTAAGCAAAATTTTAATGTGCCTTTTCTCCCACTCACAGCATTATAAATATAATAAAGAATAAGATAGTGTTCTTATTTGTTTCTTTATGGTAATCTATTATGTTCTATCCATTATGTTCACCTAATTGGATTTTCCTCCCCCATATATATTTACTTTTATTTCCTTTATGCATCAAGAACAGGCTAAAGCCTATGAATTTCCTGGTTCAATAGTTCATGCTCAAGGGCCTGTAATTTCATCAATGTGGATGGATACTCCCTCCACCAGGGCACATCACAACCCTGCTATGCTTTGGTAGATAGCCTCTGTGAATTGCTCTGTCTATAAAATTCAATACCCTGAAGCTAATCTGGGGATGAGTAGTTTTAAGCTACTCATCCCCAGATTATTTTTCATGTGAGGTTGGTCCTCGCACAAAAGACACACAGTCCATCACTGGCTAGCAGAACTTGCCACAGTTTGTGCTTTGCTGAATTTCCAACACAACAAATATATCTGAAATAGTTAAACCAGAACCAAAGAAGTCTATGTGAACCTCTAGCAGTCAAATTCTAAAAGTAAGGATGGAAATCTCCTGGGCATTTCAGAAGATGTCCTCGTAATGTTCAAGTTAGGGCGGACCAAAGATCACAAAAAAGCAATCTGAAATAGAAAATGGAGTATCTGAGAAAATAAACAGCAGAAGTAGAGATGTGTCTTAGAGATGTCTGATCTTGTGTCCTAATTAAAAAAAATCTTTTATGTGATTAATTCTAATCTCTGACTCCCACATAACCTTCCCATATCTTAAAACAAAAATTTCTACTGCTTTCCAGATATAGAGACTAGAAATTGAGAGAACAATGCCTTATATTGTTTTTTTATCATAAGGCAGGGCCAACTTATGGAATTGAATCAGCTATGACAACCAGCTACAAGGGAGCAGGCCTAATGCCGTGTCTAGAAATAATAAGCAAAAAAGCTACACTCTCCAACTTCCCAAATATTTTATTATATGGGGCCTCATCATGGAATTTTTCAGCAAGAAAATGATGCTTACATTTTTGCTAACAAGGGGTCCTCCTGGCCAAAAACCACCCAAACAAAATAATTTTATAATTTTAAAGAAAATATTAACATCTCAGTTAAAAATCTTGCCTTGCTGTGGAGCCTTTTCCAAACATAATATATGACAACAAAAATACCCCCCATGCATATTGCTTAGGACCAAATCTTGTTTTCATATATAATCACAGATTGTTCTCCCTCTCTACTAGATTCTGTAAAATCAGTTCCAGAAAAATCTATGAATTAGTTGACTAGAATTTACCTCAGTTCCAAAGATTTTTAAAAAAATAATTTATTTTACATAGTGTATATATGTTATTTTCCATTATGACCCCAAACCACTGTAACCATTTCAAACAGTTTTCCTATATGATCAAGCCAGGTTCCACAGGGGTAAAACTATCATTATTTCTGAAAAAGAATGGTTAGAATGTTTAATGCTCGCCTTATGGGATTAGAAACCACCACCACACACCTACCTGAACTAAGAAAAGCTTTCCCCACAGGCTCTGGAAAACAGCAGTCCTTTGTGTTAGGAAACTGGCTCCCCTAGCACTGAAACTCCTGAATAGCTTTCAGGCCATGGATGGGGGTGAGGTAGATTTAAAAAAAAAAAACACTTTCTCATTGAGTTTTGGCACTTCTGCTAAACAAATTCCAAGAGAATGAGGAAGGACTATAACTGAAAAATCTCAATCCATCCTTCCTTCCTTCCTTCCTTCCTTCCTTCCTTCCTTCCTTCCTTCC